TAAGACTGAGTTAAGACTGAGCTAAGACTGAGCTAAGACTGAGTAGCACTCAATCCTTTGTTTCCGTGGTCCCCTGGTCCCCCGGTCTCCCGGTCCCCCAGTCTCCCGGCCTCTCGGTCCGACCGGCCCGTCCTGTGGTCGCTGCATGTTTAGCCCCTCTAACTTGAACTGACATATTTGTCTGATTGTCTTCGGTTCTAGAACCAGATCCCAGATATTTGGCTCCTCTTTGGAAATCATCTTACAGGAGATTTGAAACATGTTAGTTTTTCATTCACATGTTTCAGAAGTAAATGAGAGTCAGGTGGAACTCTGTGGATCAGAGAACATCTGTACGAAGTTTGTTGCGTTACGACATCATCTTGTTTCTGAATCACAAAACACCAATACGAGTCCTGAGGATTGGCTAATCCTAACACGGAACAGACCGTCTGAACGAGGACCAGGAAACACCTCAAACTCTGTTCACAGTTTATGGAATATATACACGCAAGTCAAAAACAACTTTATCTTTAGGTGATGACCTGTGTGACCTTTAACCCGGAAAAATTTCAATTCTAATTGAAACAGAGCAAACGTCACATTTTTCTTAGACCAGAACCTGAAGCTGGATGTGACCTGGTGTCAAAGGTCATCCTCCAGGGTTTGTCTGATTTTCCCCTCACCTCCCCTGACAGTATAGTTCAGGCCTGGGCAAACTAAGGCCCGGGGGCCGGATGGGTTCGATTATCATTGTACGTCTGCCTTTTCTCTGCAATACCCACGTTCCCCCAATAGATGGCATAGAAAATGATAAAAGCATTTTAGTCCATGATGTAAAGGTCACGCATAAATACAATACATTCATTTATATTAGTTTGCACGAATGCCCCATCTCTCTGTCCCTCGTCAAAAAGTAGACAGTAAACCAGGCCTGGTCTACGTAGTTCTGTCTGATTGTAGCCACTTTAGCTAAAGCAAAGAATTGATTAATTAGTCAAAAAGTTGGCCAAGATGAAGCTAATCGTTAGCCAAACCGTTCGTCCACATGTCAACAATCCTAAGTCATCGTGGAGCCTTAGAGTCTGTCACAGTGGATCTACAGGTCACGTGACGCCATGACCTGGATCTGGTTTCCACTAACGTTCGATTCTCTCAGGCTCTAAAGAATCACCAAACACAGAATATTAGATTTAGTTCATCTCCCGTCCTCCCTCCCCCCCTCCCTCCCTGCCTCCCTC